ACTCTTCGGGATGGATAAACAACTAAAGGAAAACACGTGGTCTCGACTACTGTGTATCAACATACAGTCTTGATGAATTTATGCAATAAAAAACTTTTGTAAACAATGGTCAGCGTCCAGTAAGCAGATGAAATTATATAACGTTCAACACACAAAATACAAATCATATGATGATAAAATATTATACAGCGGATTTTCGTCAATAGACTATCGTCTATCGGTGCAGCGCGGCAGCGCCGCAGCGGCGGTCGGGCACTCGGGCGGCACTCGCAACAATAACAACAAAAAAACCCGATGTTTCGATATTTTGCCGTAACTGATAATGTATTTTTAGACCTGTCCTTTGAACGATGAGTTTAATACACCAGAGTGAGTGTATTATTATTTATTTTATTTATAAAATAATATGATTCACTATATATAATATTAAGACGTATTCTTTAAAACTTTTTGATGTGAATGACAATTTCAAGAATAATTGTTGCAAATGATATGGTTTAACTCGTACTACAAATTGCCACTCGTAATTTTCGGTGTTTCTATATTGAAACACGAACAAAAAAAATGTAACAGCCCTATGATGATAGAACATCGAATGAATAATTTCTGTAAGAAGTTAACGATTGTTAGGTACTATTAATTATTATGACGTATATTGATAGGTATATATGTGTTTAAAATTATGTTGACTGTATTAGGTATATTGTATATTTGTATATTACTCTTCGAGTGCCTATAAATTATGTATTAAATAATAATAAATTAATAAATAAATACAATTACATCATCATATAAAATAATGATACCTCAACCCTAACGCGTATATTTTTATAGGTATTTGTATTTTATACTTAAAATTTAATGAAGTTCAACCGAGCAGGTGGGGAACTAGAAAATACCGTGGGTGATTGACACAACTATATAAGACTATATATTTTTTAAGTAAAACGTCCACTTGTCTTTATATTAAATAAACATTATAATATAATACGCCAAATAGGTACACGTCACGATATAATACCTTATTAGTTATTATATTCTAGACTAGGCATTAACGAGTTAAAAACTTAGAATTAAAACTTAGTTAATATTAACTAAGTTAAATAACAAGTTACTTTTTTTGAAACTAATTTTTAACTTAATTAGTTACATTTATAATGTATTTAACGTGTTAAATACAAATTAATTTTAAACAGATTTATAAAAATTAAGTTAACATTTTAGCTGTACCTATATATTAACCATTTATTTATAATTTTGTTCTATACAAAATGAGATAGGTATCACAATATATAGAAATGTCCAAAAATAATATACAGGAAATCAAGAATTAATAATTCATTAATCATTATAGTTATATTGTATTTGTTATATTTTTTATTGATATAATAATATAGCTAGCTAGTTACATAGATATTAATATGTACGTCAATGTATTATATATTATTATTAGGTACGTATTGTAGGTACCTATGCGGTCATACAAATAGTATATTATATATTATACAACACGAATTATAATATTATGTTATACTGGGTATTAGTGTATTATGAATTTACAAATTACGATTACACTATAGCTGGTGTGCGTGAAAAACGGATACCTATAGCTATGTAGGTTATGTTATTAACGCCGAATCAATAGAACTGTTTAATGAAACCGACATAGTAGGTGTTTTAAAAAGCCCAAAACTTAGCTGGGCAGGACATGGAGAGCTATGGATAAATTAATAAACGAAGTCACAACGTGGAAGCCAGATCGAAAAAGACCAATATGACGACCAAGACAGCGGTAGAGTGACCGTGTCAAAGAAGATCTGAAACTCCTAGGAATCAGGAACGGAGAAACAAGAACATTGGATATAGAGAGGTATGGCGAGGCATAGAAATTAAGCGGCGATGGGTTTAAACGGCCCGAAATAAGCCAAAAAAAAAAATGTATGTTATATTAACTATTTATATAATTGTCGTATATTATAAAATATAATATAATATAAGCAACGCTGAAACGCCGGGTAATAGATAAAGATTTTTTCAACTCATTACGTACCTATATAATACCTATTAAATTAATATAAGAAGATAAGTAAATTAAGTTAAGTTAAAAGCCAAATAATAATATACTTTTACAACTTCGTCGAGTTCAAAATTAATTTATAAAACAAAATTACAGATAAGGTAAAATTAACTTATACCTAACTAAAAATGTAAAAATTTTCATGTTGATAAGAAAAATGGGTTATCTACAAAATAAATGATGAATTTGGAAATCGTTTCAAGTTCGGGATTCTGTGCCGTAGCGGTGGCTTAATTTTATAACGTTTATCGGTTGGGGGGGGGAGGGGTAAAATAAGTCCAATGTTCTTATTACAACATTGCTTATAAATTATATTATTATATACTATACCTAATAGGTATACTATTATACCTATTACCTATACTATTACCTACCTAACTATTATGCATACTATTTATTAATTATTATATATACAATATACATGCACTCGAACATATAATATTATTATAAACAATATATATATATATATATGTATATTATACGCGATTCGGAGTTTTAAAATCAGTACTATTATGCAATATTATTGAAGCTGTGCTGGAATATATTATTATATTCCTATCATAACAGAAATAGTATATATAATATATATTATATATAATTAAATTTAAAATAGTAGTTTTATTGTATAACGGCATAATGGACTAGCTGGTAATTAATTAATTTTATTGATACATTATTGTAGTCAAATATTAAATATACATAATTATATAATAAATAATATGTAATATATATAAAAGAATAATTATGTATTATATACATGTTATTATTATATATTATATTACACTATAATGCACAATATTACACATGTTTTTTTTTTTGTATTAGCTATGATGTTATTATTATTTATTATATTACTATAATATACACTAAACATACTCGTATTATTAGATATATTATATAAAATTAACCAACTAACATTATTGCAATACAATTTTGCATGAAATTGGTGATGTTTGATTTAAAATCACTATATTTTAGAAATGCAAACAAAATATATATTTTATTCCTTTAACAAAATTTAATAATTGTTGTATGTTCAATATTACAATATTATTAAATAGCCATTAGAAATCCAATGTTTTATTTTCAATCAGTAGAAAAATGAATACAATATTGCTCAAACAACATCAAACTACTATTATATTTCAAACATTATAATATTATTGAATACTAATTAAAAATGTAATGTTCAGATTTCAATGAAAACCAATGTATATGCAGCATTGAACTCACACTTAAAAGCCAACATTAAATAATCAACATGAAAACAATATTACTAGAACATCAACATATTCAATTTGAAAATTACATAATGATACAATGTCTATTTAATCTTAAATTGTCAATGTTAATTTATCAATGGGCAGCCAATATCCATTTAATAATGACATTGCAGAATTGCTGTCTGGGAAGAAATAGTTTCGAAGAAGAAAACATTAGTAATAACGGTGAGTACAATACATTCAGATCCCCATAATAAAAAGAACTATAATTAACTTTACAAAATTCATAATTTTTTTTTTTTTTTCAGAAAATGAAGCAAGTGATACTAGTGGTGACGAGTCTGATTAATAATTGGCAACAAAATCACATCTAAAAACACAAGGATTAATGATGTAAATTAAAATAATTTTTAACACTTTCTTTTATATATTCGAATACAAAATATAATTGTTAGTTAATATGTATTAAAATATGTTATTTATATACCTACCTAATGTTTAAATAAGGTTTTAATGCGTTCTGGTAAGTATAAAACACCAAAATATTCAGTAAGTCGCTTTATATTCTTTATATACACGTTAATTACTTTATTTTAGTTCCGCGTTTGATCTTAATAAAAATGACGTAAGTTACGAGCACTTTTTTTTAAGTTTAACTTGGTCTGGTTTCACGAAAGCACCAACTATTTTGGTCTGTCCATGGCTTAAATATACAAGGTTATTGCACATAGCCAAATTGTTGTCAAATAAAAATAAAATGGCAGCGTAAGGGTACTGTCCATATCATAGCATATAATATCATAATATAGCCAGTATACGTCGTCCCCTAACGCTGCCATTTTAATTCCTTAACGTGATAAAATGATATAGTGGGGGTAATATTGCAATAACCTTGTATATTTAAGCCATGGGTCTGTCTATGCAAATAATTTATGTTGATAAAATATATTATCATTTGGTTTAAACATAGACCTTTTACTCATAGACCAGCCCATCCTATACTAAATACATTGATAGTCGCAAGCTGACATAGCGCAGTGATGCAGCCCATTTATGGATCAGTCAGATCAGGTCTATGTCCTATACGATTATTTTTTTACCCGTATCAGAGTAACTCAGTAACTGAAAAGCTCCACCTATCATCGGTGGAGTACGATTGCGCTCGTTTTACCTTTTTGAGCATACGATTGCGCGCGATGCCGGAATAACAAATAATCATGTTTTTGCCTATTCAAAAGCGTACGATTGCGCGTGAAATTGGATGCGACGTTGCCAAATTATTATTTAAATATAAAATAATTATTATTATAAAAAAAAACAAATTTTTGACGAGCCCAGTGATATCTTCTAAATTCAATTTTTTAGGTCAACAAATTCAAAAAAAAAAAAAAAAACAATAATTGGTACACGATTGAAAATCATCAATTTCGATACAAAATCACATTATATACAAATAATAATTTAGTTAAATTATATCTCGTTAAATCCATAACACAAAATAAAACAGATTCTTTATATTCTCACTCAGTCTACCTCATAAAGGAACATAATAATTATTATAAATAAAAAATATTCATTAAAAGAAAATCGTTATAATAAAATAATATTAAATATT